ACCAGAGCTGGATTGTATGAAAGCTGGGAAATTTTTTGATTCTTAATCTAAATGTATTTATGGCCAACTGTTACCCTTTTGTTCTTAAGCCAACATTGTGCATTCGGGAGAATGCACAACACTGTGTTCAGCCTCACAATGTTAGCTGTTCTTAAGCCAACACTGTGTTTGGGAGACTTGTTTTTCGTCCAGTCCATGAGACCCATGGTGTCTAAAGCTTGAGAAGGAAACTGAACTCCTATTCCTATGTTTCCCATTTTTGACATCAGCATTTCTGCTCCCTCTCCCCTGGTCTCTGAATAAGAGCAGTGTAGTCCTTGTCCCATTATGTCCCAAAGTATTGCTGTTTCCAGAGGTGAACTGTCCTCACAAATGAAATTCTGTGTTTCGTCTCTCTCCTATAAAGGATTCCTACTTTAAAGAGTTTATGAACTCAAGTAGCACTTCTCCTTTACTGATGCCCCCTTCAGTTCTCCCTTCTTTTGCCCAGCCCCAAGATGCATTTAGAGTGTGACTTTGCTGCAATAACTAGATTTTTTTAAGTCACCTCTAGTGGTGTGGGCTGTTTTCCTTACACCCCTTCTGTTTTCCAGTTAAAGCAGTCCTGTCTGAGTGCAGTAGATCACCAGCATGTCTCAACAAAGCTTTTGCCACTGCCTGCAGGCTTAGGCATACATCTGCTGGGTAAAGAGATATGTGGCTGAGGATGCTGTCCTGCCCCAACTGGTGGCTGTGGCTGCCCTTTTGCAGAGTGCCCAGTCTAGGTTATTTCAGAAGCACCGGCCCTGTTTAGCAGAATGTGGCTGAGCACAGACCTCTTGTGCTGGAGCAACGTGCATGGACCGTGCAACCATCACAGCACCCACTGCCAAAGTGATGGCATGGACAGTGGGGGGAGCAGACAAGGGTTTGGAGGGTGTTTGCATCTGAGCAGACCCCATTTGCTGTGTGTCACTGTGAGGGATGAGGTAGGACCTCACATTTCTCCAAGGGGCTGGATTCTCCAGGGTTTCTTCGTTTGTGTCAGTTATGAGCCAGGGTTGTGCATCAGGTGCTGTGCTTACCTGTTATTGAATTTGGGCTTGCTGCTATTACTAATGTCAATTCATGTTGTATTACTCTGGGTCTCCACCTGCGTATCAGGAACTGGAATCACTGTTCACTTTAAGATTTCACTCAATAAAATAGTGCTTTGCCAGGCAAGCTAGCATTTTACTTCAAACATAACCCTTCTTATGACTTTTTTTTTCCCAAAAAATGGAAATTATTACTGTAAGAGTCTCAATTTATGGCAGAAATAATTGAGTGCATTGACACATTTTAATAGAACAGATTTCAGAGTGTCGTAGTGCAGATATGACAGTTGCATCTGGCCTTAGATCTCCTTCTTTGCCCTCCTGTACTGCCACACTAATTAATCAGCTCAACACTTTGTTGAGACCATTGTGTGGGTTTCAGTTTCAGGAAAGGATTTGCTGACTTGCCTTTTTAGCTTCAAAGTAACTTGGCAGTGCACATTTCCAAAAGAAAAGACTGAAACCCAGAATCTAAACAGAAGTACTTCAACAGATAAATACGTGCTGCAACTGAAATCCATACAGCCACCTGAATTACTTACTCATTGCTTTTGACTTCAACCTCAGAACTAGCTTTTAAGGTTAGACTGTAGAATTGCGGGAGAGGAGTTATTATTGTATAATACTGCTCTTGTCTGTCCCAGCCTCGTCTAATATTCGAATTTTTTCTATTTGATTCTTTGTTCATATGGGTCAGATAAGACATAAGGAGTGCAGGCAGCCTGTAAGCAGCCTCACACCATTTTTTGCCCGCCCAAAATTTCAATCACATTAGGTGGCACACCATAAAATGCTGTCTTAATTCAAGTGCATGTCTTGTGTATCATGAAAGCCACAGGGCAGAGATGACGACACATGCCTTTATGTGTGTGCTTCTTCACATGCATGTATTCTTGCTGATCTTCTTTCTCACTCTGATCAATAAAAAGTATTTCATGTACTAGCTGAACTGCATGGAGGACGAAAGAATCAAAACAGGCTGTGATTTGAGGATGCAGCCTCCGCTAAATGGACTCTGAAAGGTTTCATTGTATTCTTCACTGCTCAGTTACAGGAGGGGCAGTCGCCATAGCACTGACATAAGGAGATGTTGGCATTTTAAGGTCTACCCTAAGAAAGTGGTAAACACCTGCAGTTCCCATTGAGATCACTAGTGCAGCTGCTCAGCAATTCTCTTGTGGGTCACAGTTTATAAAGAAATACTTTTCAAAAAACATCATCATAGTCACCTTTAAAAGCAGAATCTTTACCACCAGATGCTTTCAGTTCTTTTCATTTTCTTGGCAATTTCAGATTACAGGGATTCCTGGCAATTGCAAAGGTGAGAGTTGAAATCAGTCCTATCTAGCAGCAACAAAATAAAACCTGGAACTGTTATGGACACATTCCTTTGGAGTATTTTTAAGTAAATGAAATAAAAGCTCCAAGGAAAGTGGTGTGAGCATCTCACAAAGAACTATAGCTTTCTCTATGAAGTTGGTCAGATGTAAACATATGTCCCCTTACGTTGCACAAGCTCTATCTGCAGCGTCTTCCTGTTCCCTCCTCCACACTGATGTGGTGGGTAGGTGAGCGAGTGGCTGTGTGGTGCTTAGCTGCAGGATGGGGTGAACCTACCACACATGGTATTCTGGTGTCTTAAATAATCTTGAGCTTAAGACACTGTTTGGAAAGTGAAAAAACAACATTAAGCCTCCCTCTTTGATTAGCATCTTCCCTTACAACTTCTTGTTTATAGTAGTACATAGCAGTTATAAAGTACTTCCCCCATCCTTCGAATTTTAAAAGTATTCAGATTAATAAAAGACTGTATCCTGCAAAAAATGTTTATGAATGTATTTTTGTGTTCTCTTAAATTCCCGAGTCAAACATGAAAATAGATCTTAGGCTGCTGAGTTACTGTGTTGTAATTAAACCGCACAAAAAATCCCATTAAGTAGATAATTTATTATTTCCATCTGAGAAGATGGTAAGGCTGAGGCAAACTTGTCTACTGTTTGTGCCTTTCTGCTAGTGTCAAATTAGCTCCTGGCTGGACTTAATTTCTTGACTGTTGTTACACCCCATATGACAATGGAGAGATAAATGCTGCTGTCACGGTGTGTATAAAGCAGGAAAAGATGAAACAGGGTAGAATACCTAGATGAGGAATATTCATTATCTTGCACAACACTCTTTAGCCTTATTCTCTCATCAAACCTCCTGAGTCCTGCTGTTCCTCTTGGAAATTGCTGTAGCACAAGAAGAAAAAACCTCAAGGTGACTGGGAATAAAGGGCATTAACTGATGAAGGGATGAAGTTTTAACCTTAGTTTCATGAACCTAAGGAGGCTGGATTTCTACTGCCACATATAATGCGCTGTGAGTAATGAGGGGCCAAACAGTTTAAGGATACATGAGCCTTATCCCCATCTGCTGGCACAGAGCTGCAGCAGCTTTGGTTTCTTGTACTGGTCACAGATAATGCCATAGCTCCCTGTTGGAGCATGACTTCCCTTGCCTTCAGCATAGCCTTACTCTCGGAGCAAGAGCCTGGGAGGGACATGATAGACTGGGAATCGATAGCTTGTCTTGCACCCAGCTCTGGCTGCACAGGCAGCTGGGGTTATGGTAGCTCCTTCCACCTCTGCTGGCTGTTCCCAGCTTTGACTCCTGCTTAGATCAGGGGCTCTGGGGTACAAACAGTCCTGTGCAGTACATAACGTGTTTGCCCTTGGTGGCTAGGGTAACATGTACAGCTCCCAGGCTGGTTAGGGTCCCCAGTAAGAAATATTTTCTATCCTTGGTAGCACCGTGTACATGCTCAAAGAATTAAAAATTGTTGCAGAGCGCTTCTGACCAAAGCCTGCAGCTTACATTAGCAAAAAATTGCAGGGCTTGGTAGTCTTCCTATTCAAAGATTGACTTGAGTGATGAGGTTTCCTTATTAAAAGGTCTTAGTGTACTGGTGTAGGCTGAACTTCTTTCACCTCTGCCATCTAAAATCCTGTTTATAGAAGCATGGGCATGTGGGCTTGATAGCTGTTCAATCAGCCTTCACTTCAGCAGTTGATTATCAGGCACTCTGTTTTCATAGAATGATAGAATAATCAAGAGTGAGAAAGGGCCTTAAGAACATCTAGTTCCAATTCCCCTGCCATGCTCAGGGACACCTCACACCTCTGTCCAACCTGGCCTTGAACACTGCCAGGGATGGGGCAGTTAGCACTTCTTTGGGCAACCTGTTCCAATGCCTCACCACCCTCACAGCAAAGAACTTCTTCCTCACATCTAACCTGAACTTCCCCTGTTTAACTTTAAACCCATTACCCCTTGTACTATCATTCCAGTCGCTGATGAAGAGTCCCTCTCTGGCACCCTTGTAGGCCCCCTTCAGATACTGGAAGGCTGCCATGAGGTCTCCATGCAAGGTTTTCCTCTTAATATATGTAACGTTGTGTGCATTCAAGTGCTTGCACATATCTGAAAGCAAGTTGAAAATGGCTTTGCTGGTATTACAAGCAGAATGTAAAAAAAAAAAAAGAAAGAAAAAGGAATACCAACCAAACCCCAACTTAAAATACCATGGCCAAACACTTTCTGCGCTCTTCTTGAGAAGAGTGTGATTCCTTCCACATTCAGGGAGCTCCTCAAACAGCTGAGCAGACAAATGCCAGGGGCTGCGCTATGCAAAACACTCTCCCTTATCAAGGCAGCTCTAACTACAGTTGAATAAACAATGCAGTAGGTATATGTGCACATCAGCAGGCAGAGAGGTGAGAAAGTTCAGGTATGACCTCTCTAGGGACAGCCAAAGCCGTGTCCTGCATGTGGTCCATGTTCCCTCCTCAGAGTAACAGATCTGCATTTTGTAAGCGAGCTGCTTGACTCTTGTAAAACATCCTCCCTGTGCTGACGCTTGCTTTATCTGCATTTTGCCTGCAGTGGCTGAGGAATCCAGGCCCCCAGCACGAGAAACGGACTCTCTTTGGAGACTTGCTGTGCTTCTTTTTTATCACTCCACTGGCGAGCATCTCTGGCTGGTTGTGTCTGCGAGGAGCAGTGAACCATCTGCACTTTAGTAGCAGATTAGAAGCCGTTGGCCTTATTGCACTTACTGTCGCACTCTTCACTATTTACCTGTTTTGGACTCTAGTAAGTATTAGTTTTCTCTTTAACTCATAGGAATAAGGGAAAGAACAAACCAGAAAATTAACGATGGAGTGCTGAAGAGCATGTGCACCACTGCACAAAGCTTTGCGTATATATGCCTTCTGCACTGATAAATTTAATTTACATCTGCAAGAAACCTCTGGGTTTCACCCCAAGTTCTCTGGAAATCCAGAAAGACAGTTTGGTTTTGGGTCAGTCATTCCCAAATCCCAAACACCAGAGGAGGTAGCAAGAGGGAGACAACATGGAGTTCCAAGACACATGCTATGGGAGGGAGTTACATCAAAGATAATGTGCAATAGGTGAAGGCACAGTGGACAAAATAGCTTTAGATGAACAACGTGGAAGCTGGAGGATTCAGATTTTATTTTAATCCAACATTCGGCTAATTTAACTATTCAAAAGCCTTGCATGTGGGTGCACCCCATGCTTTCCTCATTACTTGTGCTTGCGTTGCTATGGGAAGTCCATAGCAGAACACACCTTACACCCAAGTCTGTAGAAATACAGCTGCCTTTGCAGCTGTCACTTGCATGCTGACCCATCCTAAAAGCCACTTGATTTGTGTCAAATTGTTAAACTGAGATCAGTTCCTGGCCCCAGTGCACCAAGGAACACTTGGCTTGGCATTAATGAAGCAAACCCAGAGGACAGCTGCCAAAACAAGTGTTCATCAAGTTGTGGTCTAGCAGTTCACTGAAAATCCCAGGTTACTGTTGAGTTTGACATTCTACGCCTTTAGCTCTCGGGCAAGGAGAACAGAACAGCAGATGCAGGGAGCATTCATGTGCAAGGCTGTGCTGCTGTGAGAGGAAAAACCCATATGAGCCTGTGCTGCCATGATGGGGGGAAGACCACCTTGCCCATGGTGCCAGCACAGCAACTGACCCTGCAGGGCAGCTCTCATGCACACTGTGTATGGCCACATGCTGTATAGCTGAACCCATCCAGCAGTTTTTGATCAGTGTAAGCTGCTGAGGAGGTGACATTAATAGAGGTAAAAACACAGTAAGAAACATGAGCCCACAGTAAGCTTGCAAAAGGAGAGATGTTGAGGGTAAAAAACATAAAACCTCCATGCTACGTAACAGCTATCTCCAAGAAAGCTCTGAAAGGTAGCATCTCATTTACTTCGTTTGTAACAGTGACACCCTGTTTCATCCATAGAAGACCACAAGTGAATCTTAGTGGCACACAATAGTAGGGAAAGCTGACAATTTTCCCTCGGCCTCCTTGCAGTTTCTCTTTGTGTTGTTTCTGCTTCCATTTTCTGCGAAGCAGCACCAGCAGCACTCCCCTTTGACGGGACAGCCATTCACTCCAGTAGTGAAGCAGCACTTGTACTTCCAGCAGCACTGTCAGTCAGGTGTTCAAGCAAAGCTTTTTCAAACCTCCTTCGTGTATGACTGTCTTAGAACCCCAAATGCTGCCCGATTTATGTAAGATACATAATTCACAAGCACCAGAATGGCTGGAAGTTAGAAAGGAGAGCCTGGCCAAGAAGTTGGATTTAATTACCCATGACACATGGACATACCTGACCCTGCTCATTAAGACTTCTGCAGCATCTCAAGTGTAGTCCCCAACATCATCTGTTGTATTTACATCATAAGTGGCAAAATCCCTTCTATTCACTTTCTAAGTCTTACCTCTTCAGAAGCATACAGAGAAATGTGTTATAGGAGCTGGAGAATATGGCGATAGTGAGCCTGATGTAAACGTATTCCTTGGTTAATTTAATTGAAATATTGTATCTTTAATGTGCACTGAATTGTGGAAGATGCAAATCCATTCTGATCTATTATTCAGACCAGCAGGAGGTGGATGGGCTAATGAAGCACTGTGTTCACCAGGAAAGGGCAAGGTAGGATGCCTTTCAGTGCACAGCAACCCTCTGGTTCAGCATGGGGTTAACTGAGTGGGCAGATGGGGATGGAGCTGGGGCTGTCTTCACAGTAAGAAGGTGCCCTCATTGCCCTAACAGCATTAATACTCAGAAGAGTTTGGAGCAGATTTAAGTATATCTGCAGATTAAGTCAACAGACTTGAGTGACAGTGTTTACACACATTCTCGGAGGGCAGATTTGCAATATCAAGGTAGAGACTTCAAGCAACTACTTAACATCCCCTACATGAGGGAGACTTGTCCGCTCTGCTCAACAGCTGAGACCCATCAGTGAACACAGGAAAGTCCCAGCTTGCATTTGCACAGGGGATGCATCTCCTCCGCTTGCCCCATAACAAGGAATGGGGCCACACACAGAAGCTAGCCCCATGAAATGCTTCAGCAGCACCTGCCCTTTAATTTTTGGAAATAGGGGAATCCTGCACTGCTTGCTTAGTTATTGCTGTGCAGGGTGTATATTGAGAGCTGTGGGGCAAATTACACAGAATATGAGGCAAAAGTTGGCATATAGATTATTTACATACCATAATTACCTGAATGAGCAGTGAATGGGAGAGATTCTATTTTTAGCATCCAATAAGCTGTTTTATCCACTCCCCTTAAACAGCCACCCTCTCCATACAATGCTGCTGCTTTTTCTCTGAGTTTATTCACTGTACCTGATAACACATACCCCCAGACAACCCAACCTACTCCCAAGAAGAAAGCTTCAGACATAAAACAGAGATTGCTATTTAAACTGAGAATTCAGGGCCACACTCTGCTTTCTCGCTCACAAAGAATCTTGACTCCTTTAAGATGAAGTAGCATGTTGCAGTACAAGATTTGCCCTATAGCTTCCAGTGTAACGTAACTGCTGGTTTAAAACAGGCCAACCTGAATTAATTCAGGGTAAGTTAGAAAGACACTGCTTGCTATCCTGTTGAAGAGGTCAACAAATAGTGTGCCAAGGACCAGTGTAAATCTGGCCTTTGCTCAGCATCTCAAGTTTTGCATCCAGTGTAACAGCTTAGGGTGAGTAACATTGGCTCTGCTGAAATTCAGTAGCTGACATCACTTGGAAACTGCCTCCAGGCAAGAACCCATTGTAAACAAGCTGTCAAACTTAACTAGATTATCCTGTGAAAATGCCTTAAACAAATGAGGAGTTAAAGCACAGCTTAAACATGCAGCCCTTCCTCAAAGAACTCACATGATGCTAAACTGTAGCTCACTCCTCTGAAGCAGTCACTGCATTTTGCAAAGTATTTATCTTTCCAGGTGTCCAGTCATTTCCGCTCCCTCCCCCTCCTTGTCCCCATGGCTCCTGCTGATAACTGCAGTGCTTTTTAAAGAGAGATTTCTCATGTTCATTCATATAATGATGTTCCACAGAAATGAAGGTGTAGACTGCTTTGCCTTCTGGGACAGCAGAGGAGATTGAAAGATGGGGAATCGACCTGTTGGAAAAGCTGTCTTTCTGCAACTGTGTAGTCAACAAAAGCTCTATCAGTTTCCCTCATTAACCAGCAGACAGCTGAATAAAGATCTAATAAAAGCCAAGTCTTTTTTTTTTTTTTTTGTCCCTAGTAGGATTTTATAGAAAGGTAAATAATTTACTTAGTTAAAAACACCTTTTTGCAAGGAGGAAAGGGTTTTGAAGGATACAATCATAGGCACGTATATTGCGTAATCTCCCTCTATACCTCACCGGCATCCATCCTATCACTGCTGTAAGGGCAGGAAAGCAAGCAGCACACAGAGCCACTTCTCTGCAAGCAGTCAGCAGCATCTTCCACCCAGCCGTGCAAACCAAGCATGTTACCCTCCAGCCTTCATGGCACCCTCTGCATAGCACAGACATACAGAAGTGGCTCAGGTGCATAAAAATCAGTGACAAATGATCAGCTGCATATGAAGACAGAACAGCTAACAAGGTTCTTCCTGTGATCACTGCATGGGTCCCTCCTGCTCACAGCTAAGAACACAGTAATTGTCACATAAAAGGTCCCAAGGCAGTTTACAGGGTTGTCATTTGTTTGTTTTTTTTTTAACTGCACATCTTCTTAAACATAATTCTCACTACACTCAGCTGTCACTAAAATAAGCAGTAAGCTATTTAAAAAAAAATATAGGGCCAAGTTATCTTGTATTAGTCATTTCTCTTCCACTACTAGCAGAATTATATTAAGGTTGAAATCTGTTCACTATTAACAATAAAAACAACAACAAAAAAAAAAGACTAAACTGAGCTGATGGCTCACACTCACCCTGTTGCATCTGTGCAATCTTAATGTGATGCATCTAGCAATAAAGCATTAAAGGGTAGAACCTGTAATATGACCCTGTCACTGTTTACACACAGTTTAGCTACTGGCAAGCCTTCACCATCCAGACAGCTACACTGTCAGTTTAACAACTTGCAGCACTATAGGACCCCAAAATCTTTCTCATTCCAAGTAGCTGCCAGGAATTCTAGTTCTCGGGAAAGACAGTCTTGTCTGATTTTTCATGTTATAAAGGAAGAAGAGGGAAGCAACAGCAGAAAGTAGGGCACCGACAGCTTTTCTTCTCTGCTGTAGCAACTTGAGGAACAAGCCATCTACCTGATAGGTCCCATCTTTGCCTGCTACTTTTTGCTCATTTTTATCCCACCCAACTAGGCTGCTTTTTGTTCCACTTCAAGGCATTTCCCCCAAACCCCAAGTGATTCCTTGGATGACAACTTTGACTCTAAAGAAAGAGCATCTCTGTTCTCTCCTCAGGTATCCTTTAGGTATCACTGTAAGTTATACAGTGAATGGCGTCGGACCAATCAACGTGTGATACTCGTACTGCCGAATTCTGCCAACATTCCCTCCAACCGGCAGTCTCCACTGGGCCTGCAGTCCGTCAAGAGGAACTCAAAGGAGACAATAGTTTGATTTGGGCAGTTATGCATAGGGACCATGCACTAAAAATATATCCATCAAACTCACTGGCATCAAGCACTGTCCAGAACACTTAAGTGTGCTACTTCGATTTACCAGCTCTTCACAGAGGAATAAGTCACTGTTTGTTTGAATTCAAATCATGGATGCTACAATCACATGATTTTTGCTAAGCTGCCAAACTTGCTTTATTAGCAGATACTGTGTGGTATTGTACAAACTTGTGTTAATAATTACATCATGATGCAAACTTTTTTATTGTTTAAAATATTAAACTGTGGTAATTATCAATGAAAAACAGGTTTAAGAGGTGTTCTGTCTTTATCATTTCCTGTTCCTACAGTATTATTTAGGTAGATCAACAGTAACCACTGCTGGTTTTAGTTTTCTAAAGCACAGCAATGGCACTCGCCTAGTTGATTTTATTTGAAGATCCTTTAGGCCAATATTCTGGATTATTAAAACTTTTGTGTTATAAGTTCCACAAATTGGCATATTATTTAGAAGCTACAAAGTGATCAGAAAATGATCTGCTGTTTCTTATTTGGCAGGGAAAGAAAATTCTAGGTAACAAATTTAGCATGTGCAAAAGAAAGAAATGACACAAATTGCAGTAATCTTCCAACTCAAGTACTTTAGTACTTAACACTCGGAAAAAAATAATTGCACTTTTTCCACTTAGAAGCAACAAATTGGGCAACTCATTCTGCACTGAAACACACATTTTGCTCCTGCAAATTCAAACTTAGCTGGTTTTCTCTGCATTTACACCAAGCTGCATTTAACTCTAATTGTAAGACTTACTTTTGTAAAGAAAGGTCTGCATACATAATAAATGAGGTCATTTGACGTATTTTGGGAAGTGCATAGAAATTAGCACTATTTTAAAGCTGCAGAGTTCTCAGCTTGGCACATAGATATGAGTATATGTAAGCCTTGGCCTCTTGTTGCAACACTCAGACTAAAGCACTTTCTTAAAAAGAATGTAATAGCCTGCCTATGGTGACCAATCTGAATTTGCAGCGTAAAGACTAGACTCTGCTCCTAGGTGGCATTAACTGTTTCCTGCTGGTTTTACTCCCAATTCATTCAGCAATTCTGCACTCTGATAAGACACACACACTTAGGTGGGGGGTTGGTCATGTTTGGCAGCAAATACCTGTTTCTCTTCCAGAGGAAACTATAGAGGATTCTTAAGACCTCAATACCACAAACTCTGATGGCCTAAATCCTGTCGCACTTTTTCCTTAAACCTGCTTTGCAAATGCAAATAACTGTCTGGATAGAAGACTGAACATTCACATAAGCAGAGAGTTCCAGGTTAAAAGTAAGCCTGCTAGCTAGGGGCATAAAAATAAAGCAAGTCTAGCTGGGTCAGGACACAGACAGTTCTTTAATTCCTACACATTTGCTTTAGGTAAGTATTCTTCAAAATTATGGTACTACTTTTGCTTCCTTGGGAGCAAGTTGGCCCATGAAAGAAGTGTTATTCCTAAGTACTGTTCTTGATCTTAAATTAGGATGATACAGAATTAAGTAGCAACTAAGAAAACAATTATTTAAATCAAGCTGCAAGGTACACAGATCAGCACAACGACTTGGTCATGCCTGCCTGTGTTATTTCAAGTATCACTTTTTTGTTTAAAGATAGCTTATTTATTCTGAAGAATGTATACTGAAGCCAACAGAGAGAAAGCATGGTCTAATTTAGTACATACTTCACTACTCCAGTTTCTCAGCTTTGTGTACAAGTACAGCAAAAAGACAAAGTCATCACTAGGAATAGTCTCCCATGCATTTACTTTTTTGGGGGTATGATGGGAGAGTGGGAGAAAAAAAAATCCAAAAATTATCCAGTCATACATTTATCATTTTGCATTAAAGCCATGGAAGAAAACATACTTCATATTCTTTCTTGTTTTTCCTAGAACATAACAGGAAGGTAGGTGATATTAATCCTTATTCCTATTTCTGTTCTGAACTAAAGACTTGCAGATAGAAAGCTCATCCTGACAAGGATTACCTTTTCTTCCACTAGTTGAAGCTGCTGTTGCCAAAGTCCAAATTTTGATTAAAAAATTTAGACCTGGATCATTTCAGCCAATATTCTACATCAGCAGCAATATTCATTTTTATCCGATTAGATGTGAAAGACAAAATTAACTGCATCAGTAGCTACAGCTAGCAAAGCTCCTGGCAGTACAATGACATCTGTTATGCTATCCTTAAAGAGCTCCAGTTAAGCAGGAATAAGTTAACTAATGAAAGGATGGGGGAGGGTGTTTCTTTTTTTAATGATACAATTTGATTTTCTTCTCAGCAACATTAGGCTTTCCTCTCATGCAGCTGGTCTTGTCATTCATATTCCTCTTCCACGCAAGTTCTACAGAGGTAGTATTCAAATCAGTATTTTAAGCAGCAATCGTTAAAAGCAGCAGCAACATAAGCCAGCCAAAGAAACCTCCTAGAAGCTGCAGATACAATACAGTTTTGTTCCTTCCTTTCACATCCTGCTTGCTGACAACAGAAATGCCATGCTAAGTGTATAAACCTGCACACAGTCCACTACAATTCAGTATTAGGGATGAGTACAATGCGAAGAAAGGAAATTCTACTTCTGCTGCATAGACTAGTCTTGGAGGGAAAAGGCTATCACATTACATAAAACAAAGGTTAAGCAGTGGTATTTTAAAAAATGCTGATGCTGAAAAGGTAAAAGATCCAACAGCAGGATGCTGTGCTACTCCTTACTTGCTATTGTATTCGGAAGAATAAAATGGCAGAAGCAGCACTGTAAACCACTTAGGAAGAAGGGGGAAAAAGCACATTCGATGGATAAACTGATACAGAAGGATGTAATTGACGATTTAGAAATACCACAGCCTTCTGTTCAACTGAAGTCACAACATGAGCAAGATTAAAGATACTTTAGGTTTGTTTTTTGTGTTTGGTGCTTTTTTTTATTTTTATTTTTTTTAACTCAACTGTATTGATTCTCCCAGACTGACACTTCAAACTGTCACTTACATTTCATCTACTAAAAATAGCTTTTCATCAGTTTCACAGTGTGAAGTCACACAGGGCAATGCATGAACTCAGTACATAAAGAGAACCAGGGCCAATATATGCAAGAGGCCTTTGATGTGATGGACACCATCAGGAAGAGAAATTAAGAGCTATTGGGAAAAACAGGTACTGAGAAAGCCCAAAACCACTTCCTTTCAAATGAAGGTAAGTTTAAATAAAAACTACTGTTAAAAATGAAGCTCTTAATCTGTTATTGTTTATGAGACCAACCTCTAACATACGGCTGGTTAATTAAACAACCATTTCCTTTGCAAGCAGAATTCAGTATTGCCTCTTTAATGCCAAATACTGGTTTGGGGTATTCAAAAGTATCTTTAAAAACTATTAGACAACACAAAACGTACAACAGAGTCCCCCAGCTTTATAAATACCTAGAAGGCCCATAAAACGAGCAAGCCTACAGTACTGGTATGCAGGATATTACTGATGATGACACCACACTGCATACTAATACATTGCTGTTATTCCACCTCTCAAATTTAATTTCTGCATGCGCTGCCACATAAAAAGCTTTCTCAAAAATTAAGAGTTGCATCTCTCAACAGCTGCCAAGTTTGTCAGTACCTGTGACCGCTTTCATTTAAGATTTTTTACTGACAGCTTCTTACACTTCATTGCAGCAATGTTACAAAACATTCCCCCCCCACCTTTGATGTTGAGAGGTTATAGAACTGATTGTGATTTTTTCTTTAGCTCTGTCATAAGTGTAGAAAATATCTTCCCAGTAAAACTTGTTAAAAACCAGAATCAGTGTTGACATTCTGTCAACATCTCATTACAACGAACAAAACGCGCTACCTTCAGAAACCAAATGCTGCCATTGCAGAGAAAACCAACATTAGATTCATTCTATGACTTACATTATGGAGAAGGTTACACTTGCTTGCCTATCATTTTGTCTGTTCACAAAATGCAACAGCCAAGCCAGCTATGAAAATTCACTTCCAGGAGTTAATCCGTAACCATACAAAAATCCTATCAAATAATCAGTTTAAGCTGAAACATGCCTCTATTGATGCCACCACATGCAACTCTTTATTTCTTTGGGGTTAATCAGACACATCCTGTATTTACGCAAACCCATAAAAGGAACAGAGGACAGAGAACTCGAAGCAATTAATGTACACTAAGCAAAACCTGAGATAAAAGAGTTTATTTTTGTTATAATCCTATGATGCACCTAGTAAGTGTTCCAGTGCTTCCTTGAGGTTAACTGTCATATTAGGAGAGGCTAAATATGTATTCACATCCATCATACATAGCCTCCATTCACTTTATATAAAAAAAAATAAAAATCACCCATTAGTCCTAGTTGTCCTGTCTGGGACAACAGCTTTAGAAATTTTATTTCCCATCAACTGCTTAGTTTCTTTGCCTGGAGAAAAATGCTACATAGTCAAATTACACGCAGCCATTTCTGCAAAAGCAGCAGAATTTTTCCTGCCTTTTTTTTTTTTCTTTTTCCTACTAGAAAAACCTATTCTGCTTAGAGGACAGTATGAACATAAAAAGCACAGTCTCTCAGATTTGGAGTTTCCCCATAAAACATTTGAATTAGTATAAAAATTGTATACTCAAGACGGTTACATTTCTCTATGAAAACGCAAGACCAGCATTTTAGATTGCATCCTTTACATAAGCAGGCAAATGAATAATTAACATCTGTTGAACAGACAAAGTATCTACATTACTTACACATTCATTTCTCTTCCTATATTTTGCTGTCTGCCCAGACAAATGTGATGCAGCAGAGATAAAGAAGTCAAAGGCACAAGACAATTCGTAGCACAGGGCTACAACTGACTACACTGTGTAAAATAATTCATACCATAGAGCTACAGTGATTATATTGGGGATTATTAATAAACTTGTCCACTATGAACAGTGTGGACTTCACAGATTTGCTGCTTTTGCTATGAACAGGCCCCAAAAATCAAGCTTCCTGAGAAACAGGAATGCATTTCTTGCTTCGGGAGTGTTCCATCATACTAGTACTGTGCAAGTCAAACCACTTGTTTTCTAAACAGATTCTTATTCTGGTTTTCATGAAATAAATGTACCAGATACATTTCTGGTAAAGTGTTTTTCCAGCTGCAAGTGGAAATTACTGAACAGTTTTCACCTGCCAGGGTGATACAATTTGTACCTCTTGTCAACTGTGTAACATCATTGTCAGATAATGATCACCCATATCCATTGCCAACTCTAGAAAGGATTGCATCTATCTAAAAATAATCTTTACATATTACTTTAACAGTAGGTAATAAAAAGACCTACCAAAATTTTAATCACAAGTTGAACACATCGATAGAGCTAGCTAGTATATAGTTTGCTTCTCCGACTCAGTATCTAACCTCCAGAAAACATTAAAAAATTACACATAGCATTGCATACAGCCAATTAGCTCATTTTTCAGTGGTTAGATACCTTTACCAAATACATTAGTGTGACTTCTCTCACCTAAATTGGTGTAATTATGCCAGTAACCACAGCAGCCAAGGTGGTGTATTTAGAATGCAGTTCCAAACCGACAGGAACAAGAACTCACAGACAGTGTGTGACAGAGGAGGAGAGGAAAGAGAAAAAAAGTATTGCATTTGCTGCATAGTACATACCCTTCTACAAGCTTGATGCTATTGTTTCAGCACAGCTATGAAAGGCCCACCCTGCAGTAATCAAAATGCACTTCTGGACTTCCGTGTGGGAAGAGGTAGGATAACAGAAACTGTTCCGTTGAAGAAACTAGTAACTTTCGAAAGCTCCATAGTAACTTGCAGGGAAGTGTAAGTTCTGGGCTGGCGCCCGCTTTTGTATTTGAATAGCAAGCTCGCCACCTGGTGGTAAAATGTTTTACTCCAAAGGTTAACGTGGACACATACACGCACACCCCCCTCAGAAGGGTTAAACATTCCCCAACCCTCTTTATTTCTAGTTTACAGAAAAACTTGCAACAGCAAAACTAATGTTTTCCTAAAAATCATGATTTCTCCTATTTTCATCCATCAGAAGTCTGCCGATTTAGGTGACTATTCACAAGACTCATGTAAAAACTCTCATTATGGAGAAAATTAGTTTCAAGTAGCAGCTTCTAACTACACATTCAGCTGGGAGTCACAGCACTTGCTTACCACCCTGGTGATGAGTAGGCTGTATAAATGCTGTAACCAAAAATGCTTGATTATACTGGCAGATTCCTATTATGAATTAAGAATTAGGTACCCATTAACCATTTCTTACAACATAGTATTCATTTATACGGTATATGCCTACCGATATCTAAGCCTTCAATGGACAGAAAGCCATTATTCCTAGAGATCAAACTGAAGAGTATTCAGAATATTAGAGGTACAGAGTGATGCTTAAAAGACATGAAAATATTTATACTATGTAAATATTCAAATATAAATAGGGAATTAAAGCAAGTACTACATTGGGGTTTAATGCAGTTGTTTAAACCAGCACTACTGTCAAAAGAAGTAGTTCCCCTCATCCATCTGCATAACACTTGGCCATTCTCCCCTCACCTTCTGCTGGCACAAAGTTTAAAAGCCACCACATAATTCACCAGAAAAAGGAGCCTTTTCCAAGATGAGACATACTAAAAAAAAACGAGAAAAAAAAAATCTTAAATTCATCACAATACTAATACAAGGAAAAAGCTCACGTCAACTTTTAAAATTCTGGCCACGCATTTAGAAATACTTCCAGACTAAGATAATCATAACTATTTACAGTATTTCTAAGTTTCTATTTATGTTACTGTGCCATGCTTAAACTGGTCAGCCTGGTACTCCTATGAGTTAAAAGTCAGTCCAGTAAGAATTAAGACAAGCAAAGACAATGCAGAAACAGTTACTCAACAGAGCTTGAATAAGGAATTTTCCAGACATGAAGTTCAGGGGAAAAAAGAAAACAAAAAAAAAGAAAAACCCATCAATTGCCAACGTTACATTTACATGGACGTTTTAACCAGTTTGAAAGCCTGTCTGTTCTAAGTATTCAACCCTCATTCAACTTTTAGCTCAGTTCTAGGAAGAAAGAAATTCCCAACCTTTACTTGACAATTTAAACAGAAATACTTTATTCAAAACTTTTTCAGACAATAGATTAATGCAGGAAAGACATAAAAACTTTCTACATTGACAAAATTGAAATGGGTTTCCATACAAATGTAGACTATACTCCTAAAAGCCTTACTTTTGTTCATACAAATTATAAGCAAGACAAGCCATATGAAAAAGGTTCTCTGCTTGCTAAAAAAATAGTTTGAGAAACTGGTTACAGTATCTTAACAATACATCTAACACATTCAATATGAACCGTCTTGCAGAAGAAAATCTAAATAAAGGAAAAGAGTACCTATAAGGAGTTTCACTGCATCCTTCATTGTCTGAGTGCATTCATGATCACCTGGGCTATGTTTTTTTCTGTATGTTTTCTTGTATTTGCTTTCATTTGCTTTGCTTGTTTGTATTTTTTTGGGGTTTGTTTCTTTTTTGTTTGTTAAACAAAGCTGTTCTTTTCTGTAGAAAAAGTTTTATAGGCTTGACTGCATTGTAGGGAAAAAAAGTCTCTAGTATAAAAGTATTCATAGTATCATAGTATCCCCTTCCCCAACAGCACCTAACAATAAAGAGATCAACAGCAACTGACTAGTCTACAGTGGTATAACCTAAGAAAAATCGATCCCCAAAACATTGGAATATTTCTATTCCAGTAAGGTTTCAAGAAAAGGACTGGCATATAAATCTGGGTGACAGGGACATCACTTTTCAAACAGTACATTGTTCAGAATCAACAATTCACATCCTGTGAGAAAGTTACAGGTATTTCTTTTACAAAACTTCCTTTTCATTGACAAAGGAAATTAAGGCCATCAGACTCGCAGCATAAAACTTCACATACAGAAAATACAAAAATACGTTGTGCTTATGAGCAGGCTCTGTTCTGCAGATAATGTTTACCATAATTTGAGGAACTCCGCTGACTAGAAGTTTACATGATCATACAGCTTCTGTTAGATGCCTTCGAGCTTGCCTGTTATGAATAGAAAGTCATCTTTGAAAAAAAGAAAAAAATCCAGCAGCAGAAAATTGAGCAACTCAAAAACAATAACCATTTTTAACCTATGAAATTATTAGCCTGGCACAGTGTAAGCAAGAGTCGGCATGCAAAAATTCTACATCTGTTGTAGCCTGTATGTAAAAGAATAAATATCTATCTTTTCCTGTGAGAGGTAACAGATGACATACCAGAAAAAACACAAATTATTTTATTTGAATCTCAAGTCAAGAAGCATCAGCGAGTTTAGACAGGTGGTGAAAACTGCAGGGAACACATACAAGTACCTTGTGAGTTTTAACCTAAAGAAATCTCATCTCTCCATAACATTCTTATAATTATAGCTACTAAGACACACAGTTTAGCTGAACTACACAATCCCAGAAACAAGGAGAGCAGAAAGATGCACTTTTATTGCATAACTGCAATAAAAACCTGACTCTATTAAAAGTTATGATTCAGTTATAGGCCAAAAATCTACAACTGCCAAAAAATAGGATTTCCAACACAGCCAGCTCTCTCCAGTGCTTGTCTGTCTACATATACACACTTAATTACTGTTATATATTAGCTTTTCTAACTGACTTTAAGATATGTAAAAACTGAAATGTGGCCAAGTTTTAAGGCAAAGCAGCAAATGTGAACATTGCATTACAGGAACATGTGTTTCATTCCTTTTTTTCCTCTTTAGAAAAACTAGCCAAAAGAGTAAGATAATGGATAAAACTCAGAACGTGAACAATGAAGTATGTTGTGCTTCAGTATTTTCCCTTACTAGAATATTTTGTGGTCACTGCAATTTCACACCTTTCCACTCACCACTGCATTTCTTCAGGATGCACGAGACATTTATTTCTGATAGTGTCTTCAGTATCTCATTTCCTCTATTAGAGAAAATGAGATATTTCAGTTCTCAAAACTGTAGATAAATTTAGGTGTTCCTGCTTACGCCAAACGTTACCAAAACAGCTGCCCTGGGGAAGTTTATCAGGAACAGAGGGGGAAAAAAAATAAAATCCCGAAATCTTTAAGCTTGAAAAGCTCTTTTTAAGAAAAATTCACTTATCTATCAAGTGAATGTGTGAAGTAGTATTTTTATACTGGTTTTAGTAACACAGCTTCATGCTTTCAAATTTCAAATTACTGATAAAACAAATCCAAAACAAAAGAACATCCACACCTTAACAGGTATGATATTTTCCATAAAATTTATGACTTCAGGTTGAAAAAAAGAGATACATAACCTTGTTAACCTAAAATAACATACCTGCTGGTAATAAAGGCCTTGCTTCTCCATAGCTTCAGCTTCTTCTTCCTCAGCTTCCTCCTCTTCCTCTTCATGTACAGTTGTTTTAAAGACAGTGCTTCTCTGAGCAACCTCCTGCAGAGTTTTATTTTGAAGACTTAATTCTTCTAAATATTTGGTGCTAATATACTTATATTTTGAGCAATGGGAATTCCAGCTGTTGGGAAAGCTCCTTGTACTGATTTTGTCTATATACTTCTTATGTACTGCTGTGCATAAACAGCATTTATAACACCTTAGTTTTAAATACCTTACTGATTTAAAAGTCTAACACAACACTCAAAAATTCTTTCAAAATCTAGGTGTTTTTTTAATGTATTTAAATATTTTATTTTAATTGCAAGGTGTCATAGCAACTGCCCTACCCAAAGTTTTAACTCTCACCTTACCAGAATTAATGCCTCGGTGATTAAGGTTAGTTTCACTGTAGTGTTTTCCACACCCCATAAATACAGTTTTAAGAAAAGTTTACCAAAATCTTTTCTTTTCAAAGCATACTCCAAGGCATTGCCCAATTCCTGGTATGAAGTCAGTGTCTGAACAAGTCATTCTACTACTTATACTGAATACAAGGGAAAAAAATCTCGCACTTCATTAAGACTGCATTCCTAAATTGCAGTAAAGACAGACAGGGATACAGTATGATTAGATGTAAAGCAAAAGGAGAAAACTTTAGCAAGCACTCATGTGCACCCATGCATGAAGTTCTAAAAATGGTTCTACCTTCATCTTTATAAAGGATGGCACCGCACAAAGATAAGTTTAAACACAGCTTAAGTACTTTACCTCTCCCTGAGAATTTTTCAGTACAACTTTCACATCTTCACCAGTGCCCCAAGAATTCTGGTTCTTCCAGATGAGGTCAGTGGGAGGGCTAGCAGTTACTCCAGCATTCGCAGCCCAGACCTGTTAAAAGAAGTCACACTTGAGCATTAATTACTAGTCTTATGTATTTCCATGTTATTTAACAAATTAATGTAGTCTATTTAAGTGACACTAGTGAATCTCCCCCAGTTATAAAAAAATAATATGGAAGTGCACCTCTTTATGGTCAAAATGATTACTTCATATAGGAAGTTTCTGAAAAATGTAGCTTTGTCCAACTTTTTCCAAGTGAGGGATACAAGTAATGCCCAATACAAATACAGGCGATTATTTTCTGAACATGTACACAGAAAGTACAAAACTGAAAATTTTGCATCTTATTGACATGAAGTCCATTTCAACTGAACAGCTGAAGCTTGGCAACTTACTGTAACAGTCTGGCCTGCCTTTAGTACATATCTTGAGGTATATTTGTAAATAGCAGAAGTGTCTCCTATTTTTCGGATCAGCTCCCAGCCTCCCATAGGTTGATCCTAATAAAAAGGAGAAAAAGACTTCCATCAGCAGTCATTTTCTGTTACACATGTAGGGTTTCTTACACAAGGCTATGAGGAAAATAAAACTTTCAATAAAAACTTATTGCTTGATCTTCAACATGCCAATTAGAATAATGTTAGGTTTGTCTTCTTAAAGCTTTTTCAGTTCTGATGTTATGAACATGTTATATATTTATAACTTACATCAGTTTTGGTACTGCTTAGTAATGTCTGCTTACACTATTTCCTATCAGTGATAATGCTACCTGTAATACTTTACAGGTAGATCACTTGCAAGGCAGAATTCTGAAGAGTGATGTAGCACTTAGCAGGTGCTATGGAAAGCATTAAAATTAAGTAGGAAAGAGTCACTGTCAATCAGGAATACTGTATGAAAGCTTATTTTGTGACACACTAATTTTAGTGCCCTCTCTTATACAGCACGCTTTAGCTCCAACAGTCCACACAAAGGATAAAAGCTGAAAGGGTGCCAAGTATGCCTTCTATCTCTGATCAGCCCACTATATACATGTGCATCTTCAAACCTGTCTAGAGTTGTTCTTCAAGCGGATGAACTTTCCATCAATGTCTATCTCCTCAATAGAGACACTTCCAGTGGCAGAAGCTGAGTGGGAAATGCTAACACTACTGCTGGCTTCAGATTCTTCCACATCTATCCTCTTCCTCTTCCCTCTGGTTGTACGCACACTACGGCTTGACGAAGCGCGTGAAACAGTCACTCGGGAAGATGGGCTTGCAGAAAGTTGCAATCTATTGAAGAAATACACATCCATCACCTTTTGGTTTTACTTTTTCTACATTTTATTTTATAAACTTCCCTCTCTTTCTCTTCTTTCCACAGAATTACAGAGCAAAAAGCTACAGGAACATGGTAAACAAAGTGTGTTACACAAAAAAGTGAAGCCTTGGGTACTTTTTGGAGAATTGAATGACACGTTGTCAGCTTATTAATACTTTTGGAGCACAGAATTCTGAAAGCCTACTACATTAAGATTATAAAGGCACCTCCATCCATCTGTTAAAAGACTGCATTCCTGGGTAGATAGAACAAGTTCAGAAAACGCTCTTAGGGGAAACTTAAGCCATTGTAGAAAATTTATGCAAAAAACCAGTGGCAAAAACTTTTTCCGTTTCATTTCCACACTTGAGGAAAATCAGCCTGGATCAGTAGGATGCCATTCAGAAAATGGTCAAAATGCTTTAAAGTGACAGCTGTGACTTATCAGGCAAAAATTTTCAGTATGGCTGAACTCTGAGGTCAGATGTGGAAAATGTAACTAGCTGATAAGCTGGGCAATCAAATAGCTATTAAAACTTTACTCAAATTATTCTATACTTAAACAGATTTGACGAACAACTAAGGAGAACGTAATTAACTCCAAAAAATAATATTAACCATAGCACCAAAGAGACCTAAAAATTATTTCATAAAAATGATAATTCATTATATCCTCAGTGCTTAATAAAAAAATAATAAAAGAATGGTATTTGTTCCCTTGAGAGCTATTGGTCCGATACTCGAGCAGCCTGGTCTCATGGACTTATTTAGAAGTATCAGAAGGATGGTGCAAAAACAAACAGTGCCTAGGAACCTATAGTAAAACTCCTAATAAATACATTACCAGTAAGAACTACCTTTTAACACAGAATGGAACAAGCAAGGAAAGCACTTATACCGCATTTGTTGCTACATTCTTTCATACCTCTCCTCTTCACCCTCAAGCAATTTCCGGTATGCACTGATCTCCATATCAAGCGCCAGTTTAACATCCAGAAGTTGCTCATAGTCATCCAGCTGCTCCTGCACCTTACTTCTTAACTCGGCCATTTCTCTCTCTTTCTCAGACAGTAATTTGTGACAGTTTTCCCGTTCCTTGGCCAAGCTGTCCTCAAGCTCTTGCACTCTATCTTGCCACGCTCTAGACTAGAAAACATCAAAAACCATCAGTGATGCAAAGGAAAGCCCCTCCAAACCTCCATGCAGTCTGCTGTTCAGCTAAGATGAAAATAGAACATTATGTTAAGCATCCTTCCCCATCTCTGAATTCAAACTCATATTTTCATATTCATGTTCTCCACCTTATCTACTAAACACAACACCTAAGTTCGAGTCAAACCTTTGAAAGACACACTTTGAAAGACAACCACATTTTCCTGGGATCTGAAAATACATTACTATGCTTGAATTTACTCAAGTTGAGAAAAATTGAGCTGAAGAGTCAAACCATTTTGAAATGTGCTGGACAGGTAACAGAATCAAAGCACAGCTCACTGTACTTCAGATCCTGCAGTAAGTAATTGCTCTTTACCTTTGAGATGTCTGCTTCCAATTCCAAATTCTGGGAGGAAGCTTCTCTAAAGGAATAGGGATTGCTGCCAGTGAAAGCCTGTCTGCCTGAAAGCCTTCAAGCCTTGAAGCCTTGCTGAAAGTACAGTCCTAACTGTTCCATGAAGAATGAGATTTTTAAAGCCACATCAAGTCAGTACAACTTAATATCATACATACAAAATAGAATGCTTATCAAAGAAAGGCCAAATGATGACATCTTTAAGGTTTCTTAAAAGTATGCTTTATTCTGTTTGATAGTCTTTGAGGTTTTTTTTTTTTATTAAAAGACAAATAAAGGAACCACATTGTCTGATTAAGTCACTGAGTTTGCTGTGCAGGCACTCTACATAGGAAATCACAGCTATTAAAGCTTTATAATGCTATATATGGACAATGAAAACCTGCACTCGAAGTCTGACACACAGGCCCAGTGTCTGGTTGTCAATGTTAGAGTCATAGAGTGTCAGATGGAAGATCCCACTGAAAACTGCTACAAAGTTCAGTGCTGGCAACTCAAATCTGCTGAGTTGTCTTCTTCCAAGAGAACAAAGCTAAACTTAAAGCTAGCAAATGGAAAAGAAACCTTTACTGGTTGACATCACTAGCCCTACAAAAGAAAAAAAACACAACAAAAACCCAACCAAACCACCACCACACAACAAAAAAAAAGACAAGACACACACAGACAAAAAACACACCAAACAAAAAGTCACAACAAAAACCAAAAAAAAAACACTACACAAAAAAAAAACTCACAGCAACAAAATAGTTTTTGGTGGACAACTACAGACAAACTGGCAGAAGTTGGTTTTGGTAGTCCTGAAGTTAACAACCAACACCTCTGCAAATTCAGAAGCAAGTTTTCTGAACCCAGCTGTCAGTCACAAATAAGCAATAGAACACAGGTAATTACTAAATTGAGAAAGAAAAAAACCCACCAACATCAGAAATGCCTGAACCCCCAAAAGAAAGGTGATGGTAAACTAAAGGCAGAAATAAGAGGTAAGTGGACAGAAGTCTCAATCCAAATCTTGTGTAACCTCATGTGCATTCATCACCTATCTTTTGCAGACTAATTTGCCTATATAATGGTAAAACCTGGAAGATTCATACAAGTATCTGCCAAGTTATTTTGATAATTATGAAATAATACCCCCGAATTTATATTCTTCACTTTAAATACACAGAACTTTGAAGACCTAAGAGTCTACTGTACAGGAGTAATACAATTCAAACCTTATCACAGAAAGAATCAAAGCTAAATCTTACTAATATCTTATACTTTTCAAGAAAATAAATGTTTTTGTTGCAGTTTCAACTGATTAGTAAATTACAGAACCCCATTGCAGAACCAACTCCTAACACTTAATGGTCAGACTTGCTCTTAAAGGTCTTTTCCAATCAAAGTCATTCTATGAAAATCCAAAATGAAAATCCGAAATGCACTGCAGTACACATGATGTTACTCCCATCAAATAACCTAGCACTGAACATACAGTTTGTCATAGGTTGCATCATACTTCTTTGGGTGTGATCTATATGCTCTGTGATCTGACTAAGTCTAATTAGTTTCTGCTCAAGACTCTGCTCTACAAATACTCAAGTATAGTTATTTGACGCATTTTCAGTCTCACTTCACCTTAATCCTGGTAATGATCCATTAGAACCCATACCTCATTCTCCCACTCAGCTCTGAATTTATCAGCAAAGGTGCACTTTTTTCCCCTGGTACCAAACATCTATGTGCAAAAAAACTTTAACCTTCTGTGGACAGAAATAAAAGACAAAAGTAGTACTCGCCAATCTATGTTCTCCCTCTTTCATCCTCGATAAAAATATTTCTTAGGCATTGCACCTTTGAGATGCTTACTGCCCTGGCACCAGAGGGGAGTCCGCGGAGCCCCAATCAACTGGTTGGTGTGCACTGGAGTCCTGTTCAATCCATTCCTCTGCTATTGAGATGGCAAGACAATCTGGGCAGGCTTTATGGAAGTGCCACCTGGGGTTTCAAAACTGTTGCCCCTAAAGCAGAGTTCAGTGTGCAAAAGTCAATCAATACACTGAGTTGAGACATTCGCCCCTATTACAATTCTGTGCAACCAGCATACCTTCTAAGAAACAGGTATTTTTTTCATACAAAATCCTTTCATACAAAATTCTAACAAGGAAGGAACCACATAAGTGATCAGTTACCCACATTTTACGTAACAAAAATGTAAAACACACATGTCTCGATTTTTACCCAGGTCATTATACCAAGCTGGTCTTATATTTACATAAGAAATCTCCTCCTAGAGGTGTGGTTTTTAATATTATAATTATCTAAGGTAACTAAAGGTTATATCTTCATCCCATCATCTACCATTAAGATCTTGCCTAACTTTACGTCCTGTTGCAGCTCCTGCTTAAAAAATAGCTATGCTTGAAGTACTTACAGCATTCTACTTCTAAGGACTTCCAGCTCCTGTGCTCCCATTCTGTAGTCTCAAAACAGACCATCATAATTGCTCATTTTGTAAGTTTTTAACCCCTTTCAAAAATCAGTAAGTTCATTTTTTTTTTGTAAGACTTCTAGATGCAAACTGAATCTAGGGTTAAAAAAGATAAACAGAGAGAGACTGCATATTCCAGTTCTGGCTTTGAATGTGGAATCCTATGCTAGACTGCCCAAGTTACTACGGAAAAGAACTAAATCACGTGTAATGTCAAAAGCTTTGAACATAGAGCTATTGTCTAAAATTGTCACACCTATTACAAAAGTCACTTAAGAGTACTGCCTTTCAAGTACTCATTCTGTAGCAGAATACTGCACCCAAAAAAAAAATCAGCTTTGTCAAAAGCAGGCATTAAGAAATTTGAAGAAGTACAGAACAGTAGAAGACAAATGAAAATCATGATGCTGAACATACTTACAAGTTAAGGGAAAGTCCTTTAATACAGAAATTGACATCTGTAATAAACAAGACTGAAGAGTCACAAACAGCTTGTTACCTCTTTCTGAAGGCTGGTGAGATGGGAAGTCAGAGTATCAATTCGTATGTGACTTTCATTCAGTTCTTCTCTTATCAAATTGGTTGCAGAACTGCTCATTTCAGAGGACAGTTTAGCGTTCTCAAGCTGTAGTAGAGCAAGTTAAAACATCAGTTTCAAAGTAACTTTTATTACAAGAATGAGTCACTAAAAACCACATGAAACACTAAGCCACAAAGTTCCTCTCTACGGTTCTAACACAATGAAACATATGTTTTGTTTTTTAGGGTTTAGGTATGATGGCTCAATTACCATGCTGGACTGCCCCACCTGAAATCACAGTCCTCTGAATATTTATTCTAGGATTAAAAAAGTTTCCCTTGAAGACATCACTGAAGTTGGACTGTGAAGTTCAGTTTTCATGTTGGCCAATGTTTAGCATTGTATATTTATTTACTGTAATTAAATTACTAATTCTCTAGAAAACAAACCTATGTTAATTTTCAGACAACCTAAGCAAATTGGTAATGTGCCTTCAGATTACAATTCCAGTGTCATAAGTCACTACTGCTTCATAGTAATATCATCATGCTGAAGAGAGGGAACAAGAAAGCTTCAATTATGAAAGGTCTATTAGACTAAAATATAAATTGAAAAACTTTTTTCTCTATTTTACTTAAGATTTTCCAAGTCAGATGTAAGCCCCAGACAAGCATCCGCACTCTGTTAAGACTGTAGAACTAAAAAGACAGAACTATGATACTAGATTCAGCTTGTATCAACTTTTCTGCTGTAACATCCCACCTTGCTCTAAAACATACGAACTGCAACAAGTATAGCCACAGAAACCAGTTTCAGTTGAGACATCAGGATCCCTCCTGACAGAAGTGCTGAACTGTATTAGAGGAAGGAAATTATGAAGTACAACTCAGCTTGAGAGTATGCTTCCTCTCTAGAAGAGTGAAAGCAGGTATCACTGCGTGTGGTAAAGTTTCCATACATTATGTACAGGGTCAGAGGACTCAGGAAGCTATCTTCTCAGCAAGCCCTATTATGAAGTAAGTTTCATTAAAAAAATATAGGCCATCTTATTGATCATCAAGGCTATGTTACAGTTGATATGTAACAACACATAAGTTTTCTTTGAATTCACAGCAATCCCAGAACCAAGTACCTTTTCCACACGCTTTGCCTTCACATGGGGCTTCTTAATCAAATGATACCAGAAAATGCAAGTTCACATTCAAATGCATGGTAATTTTAAACCAAACTCCATAATAAACTCCTCTGAAATGCATATCTTTTCATCAAATAAAACAAAAAAGTACATCAGACAACTGCATGAAAACACGTTCTCACTTTGGCATAGTAAGTCTGTTCAAGCTCTTCTTTGTATAGCTTCACTTGTGCATCGTGCTCCATTCTTATTTCACTAAGGGCTTGGGCCAGTTTATGTTCATATTCAATTTGGCGCCCAGAATCAACTTCAACCAAGCGAGTCTCATGTTTCCTTTTTGTTTCATTGATTTCCTAAGAAAAACAGAAAAATTAGATTCATTGGATACGAGACAAATTTCAGAAGACTATCTGCTGAGTGGATAGTGATACAGATTTCAGCTAGCTTTGTGGATCAGCATTGGTTTGCTTCACATTGAAACTTTCAGTAGCAACACAGAGCCATCTGTTCACTCTGATATGCCAAGGTACTTTACTTTGCAATAGCCAATAACTGAAATAAGAGCTAGGATACTATCAGCATGTAAAGTCACATTCCTGAGAGTTATCTGTATTTTCACCAAATACACCTCAATACGGTTAGATTTTAGGAAGACATCCTCCCTTTCTTCAGGTCTCTTCTACGCCTGTACAAAACTAAAATAAGGTGAAATTAAACAGTTACTTTCACAAATCAGCATTTTCCTCATTTATTTGTATGCTTGCCTGTGGTCTCTGGAAAAAAGATTCCAACACCACGAGCAAAGCTGAAGATGCACCTTGCAAGGAAAATCACAAAACCACATACAGAACAAAGGACAGTGTGGCTAAGTACATTTGTTACTGCTCTGAGGTTCCTTCTGGAAAGCCTTCAATAACTGCAAGTGAAAGGGAGTCAAGAAGCTCTAGAAGACAAATCTACTGTTTCCATTATTCAAAAGCATCCAACAAGGAAGTTTCAAAATTAAAAACCAGCAAAAAATAGCATCTGCTTGAGTGTCCCTCTCCACTTTATTTCTCAGAAAGGGATTATGCATGAAAATTGACCTACTTTCTCATTGCTGTGAGATGATGTGCACCATGGGCATAACTTAATATGAAACATGACATATGAAGTTATTTTATGACAAAGGCTAAGAAAAAAATATCTGGAAATCTTCCAGCTAGAATACAGGCAAACCCTGCTCCGAGTTACAGTTCAGACCTCCCAAATTAAACTATTTCAGTATTGCAAGAATAATCCCCCCAATAGTCTTCTTTCCTTTAAAGATGTGAATTCTTGAGACTAAAGCATTTACCTCCTCATACATATTTTTACGGAATTCCAAGTCCTCAATGAGACTCTGACAACGGTTTTCAAGATCAACCTTCTGTAAGGTTTCATTTGCAAGCTGTTCCTTGACAGCAGCTGAAGAAGCTTCAAGCTTTAAGAAAAACAGAAGAATCAACACAACGATTACGTAGCAGAACTCATATAACACAATGACCTCAGCTACCTAGCAGTACACCTAACCATGTTATGGTTGAATTTGACAACCAAATCCAGTATTTACACCACTAATGTCTTTTCTACCCTTGCAATCACTTCTACAAGTGAATTCTAGATATTTTACATTGGTAAGTAGCATTAAAATGCTACTTAACAACTTTCCATACAAAACTTCAGGTTTTCTACATGGCAAATACCAGTTTCCTGGTCTGCTCAACTCATCTTCTTGAGTTAGTGTTACTTAAGATCAAATTATTTGTGTCAAAGGGTTAACAAAATTTGCACAAGACTTCCCCCTCTTTGTTTTATCAGATGCTCAGAACACTGGGAATCACAAGCAGAACGAAAAGGAGGGCAGAGAGAATCACAAACTTATTTGTCAGTTTTTTGCATCTGCATTGTGAAGTCAGCTTCTGCCCCAAAACAGTTCCACAATTTGCCAAGCTTATATTGACTCTTGACCCGTTTCTTTCGACACAAGTAACATCCCTTGCAATTTCAGAGTCAAAATCTTAAAAGCAGTCTATTCCACCATTCATGTTGTTAATAAGCTGAACAGTACTGGACAGACACCTACTTACTACTGCTTCCAATGTCGACAGTAAACCAGTTTGTTCTAGCTGTGACTAGATGGAAGGCTGGCATTCATTTTTTGGCTACAAGGCTGCATTTTGCCAGAACGTCAGCTCTCACTATAGATTTTTATATTTAAAAGTACCTCATTTGCTGAAAGAAGGTCGGTAGTTAAATATTTCCTCTCACCTGTACCATTTGATCTCTTAAATCATCATTTTCTTCCTCCAGGCTTCTCTTATCACCAAGTGCTGTGGCCAGTGCAGCTTCTTTAGAATTGAGGGCTGCTTCAAGCTCTCTGATTTTTATCTGAGCTCCATTGAGGTCTGTTTCTTTTTTTTCGTAGCTGCAATAAATCACAGAAAGTGGTAAGAAAGTCTAGAAATGCTCCCAAAGTAGACTACTAAGTAATAAAACAAGGTGCAATCTGAATCTTATTGAGACACACAACAAAAACACTTTGTCTTGGCTTAATTTACCTAATTAAAATCAACTCCTTTCTGCTTTCTCATCTGACAAGCACTAGCTTAGCATTTCACTTGGCTGTAGAAATCTAAATATAGGGGAAATTCAAGATTGTCAAACAAGTCTGAGACACATACACAGAAAGGGGAAACTGTTTATTAAAGGTTTCTCTTGTTTTCTCTTTAGCTAGTCACCGTTGAAACAGCCTACCTTCAACAGTATCTTAGTAGGAAGAAATAAGCTCTCTCATCAGAAGGCTCTTTCCATAGGGTGGAAAGCAGTAAATTAACTTCATAGTTTTTTATCCACTCAAGAACTTGTGCAAATAGCCCATTTCTAATTAACAGACCAACTCCTCAATGAAGATTTTACGTTCCCTGTCTATAAAGAAGTCCTTCATAAGCAGAAGCTGTATCACTGAAAATTGCTTTCTAATCATGCATAGTGCCAAAGTTACACAGCATTGAGGAAAGATACCCAAATCCTGCCTATACAACAGTATGCTGAACCACTGAAACTGCACTGGTGCAGAGGTACAGGTGTCCTCCTTTACAAAAGCAAACACACAAGATTTTCAAAATACTCAAATTATTTTTCATTCCTATATAAGCAGTCAGTGTGTAGAGGTTTATTCCCCAAAACAGAACATGCAAACAAATCAGTCAAATGAGAAAAGTACTGCAACAGAAAACCACACACTTCAGCCTGAATTTATTAATTACTCACAAATAATTCTATGACAGGCTACTATCAAAAATGGGGAAAAGGAAAATAATACTCAGTAATCAAAATACTGGCACAAGCAGTTGTGTTTAAATGCGTAACACAAGCTGATTCTTTTTCTCTCTGGGATAATCACATTTCCCTACTAAGGGCAGTAGCGTACGTCAGTTCTAGATGTCTATAATCAACAATTGATTTTATGGGAAAGGACAGATTCAGGCTCAGTAAGACCACAGCTAGCACATTCTTCAGTTTTTACATTTTTTGCAGAAGTAAACCCACCCCCCCCCCCCGAATTCACAACACTAAACTGAGAAGACTGAAAATTGGATGAAGACTCTTAAGAACAAGATTCAAAACTGTCAAAGCATTAACACATTACTTTTAATCACTCTATTGCCTATAAGAAATAGGAATGCTTCTCAGTGAAATGAGACTAATGCTAAAAATAAACACGCAATTTTAAAAGGAAAGATTCTCAAATTTAAAAGATACATGCAACATATGTAATTAACATCATCCTCAAGAGAGACTTGCAAAAAAACACCCGTAGACATAAAAGTAACGTTTCAGCACTACAGCCAGAAGATGGCAGGCTTTACATAACAGACTCAGCTCCCCCTAATCCGGTTCCTGGTGAGTAAACACCACACTTAACTAAACGGGTAGACTGCAAGAACCTAGACACACACAAATACTCTTCTACCCTCAACTACTTTTTTCATTTCTGCTGCTCAACACTACCCAGTCCCTCCATAGCATTTTACATACCCCTGCTTAGACCCAACAGTTCACAGCAGTTAGGTCCACAGATAGGGCAAAAGCACAGAATTTACATTTTGATCATGTGGACTCCTAGTTCTAGCTCTTAAAAATTACTCACTGATCTCTGCCCTGTCTCTCCCCTCCCATCCAGGCCTGTACGAACTTCACTATGCAAGGAAGCTGTGCAGCAGAGGATAAAAAAGAGGGAAGGAAATGTGTCTTGCTATGGTACATCTGCAATAAAATCTCCATTACCTATTAGGGAGGTATGAAGGCCCACATCAGGCCTTTGTCATTTGATCACTCCTGGATAAAACTTTATTCAAAACATGGAGACGCTGCTTCAGACAGGCTTTCTCACAAGACTTCATGCTGAAGCCAAGCTGGATCCTAAAACCAGAAAGTCGCACACACACAGGCTGCAGTGTGCTGCTCCACACACAACCCTAAATTAACCACCTTATCTTGGACTTCAAAACAGGAAGATTCCCCAAGTAAAGTTACTTTTTTTTTTAATGCAAATACCTCTACCAATTACAAACTGGTAGACAGCTGAAAAGCAGCTCTTGCAATTGGGGCACGATAGAAAAAGATGTATAATATGGACAAACAACAACAATATGATTAAAACCCAATACACTGCTTGTACCACTAAATTCGGTATTACAAATTTCATCAGACCAAAGTACCCTTCTGGCTTGTTTGCAACAAGATGACTGTGAAGCCATCCTACATTTAATGTAAGTGAAGTCACAGAAGGGGAGAGGGGAAGACGGATTAAAATTAAGCACTATTAGTGTCATGATTTGTCTAACTATGTGTTTGGATGGGCCGTCTCATTCTCAGAATGAAACAGAAACTGGAGCTCAACACTTCAAACGCTGACAGCCAGATGAAATCTCAATTCAGCAGTGTCATTCCAACCCTAAAGGAATACGGGAAAGTGAAATAAGATCAGAAACGCCTCTGTGAATTAGAAAAACCAAACTTTAAATGTATACAACATATACATCACCCTTACACCTAGTAATTTTTATCATTGAGAGTATCAGTCTCCTCCTTATTTCTCTGGGTGCTCTCTTACAATGCACATTAGAAGACTGTCAGGTTTCAGATTAAAGCTCAGCAGTTCTCTTGCCAGCAATCTTCACCTTCCTAAAATCACCTACAATAACGAACACATGCTTTGAAACATTTCACATCTGCTTCCTCAAACAGCTCCTCGAGCTCTTATAGCACACCAAATATGCGCCACAGGAAACCCTGCAACAGCTGTTACAACTTTGCTTGCATTAAGATAACATTGTTCTTCTGAGTTCTTCGCTCAGGGTACCAGCTGCAAAATGCCTCACACTTGCACAGTAATTCAAGCCACAGGCTCATACTGTTACGGATATTCTTTTCACTGCCTAATCCCACTGAAGAAATTCATTTAAGAGTATTGAAGGAAGACCAATTGAAGATACAAAGCAAAAGAGCCAGAGAAATAATCTCTTCAACATTAAAAATGCATAAAACTAGTTCCTTGCCACAATTACATTTACCATAAACACTCCGTCACTGTCAATAATCTCTTTGATGTAGGACCTTCATGGGGCACCAAGAAGTAACCACTAGAACAACTAGACTCACTAATTAGAAACTCAATAGTTTTGTTGGGGTTTTCTTTTTAAATAATAAGAGCCCAAGTTTATATTGGAGCTGCCTGCAGACATATGAAAACATCATTATGCTGGTTCACACATATCTTTTTCCATTATGAAAAATGATGGCTGAGAATGTGTTTAACTGAAAAATCAAAATTAACAAGTTATACAACAGTAAAGGAAGATTAACAGCTCTGCTGGTTTTTTTTCAACATCAATCCTTACACAACATTTGTGATCTCAAGACTAAGACCAGAATGGCAGGTGGGCTTCACTAACGAAAAAAAAACAAACAGAAGATTCTTTTTTTGCTAATGGAAAGCTACAGCAGTCACAGAAATCAAATTTAAGGTAAACACAAGCAAGGAAGCAAATCAACAACTGAATCAAGTCAAATGTGCAAGAAGCAAAATCTAGTAGCATAAATCAGTCCATTGCAAGGGTAGAGATCTTGGCATTGCGCCAAAGTTTGCAATCCTGAGAATATCTGGTCACAAATTTACCTTTGCTTACATTTAAATATCTAGCGAAATACATTTATAGTTACATTTTGGTTTAAGAAAATTCCTACTTGTTACCTACTCGCGTATTTTTTTATTACGCTATTAACATCTTTCAGAAAGGACATTTAGAAAGCCTAGACCCAAGACAACCACTATACAAACTGTCATCACTCTGCATTTTTCCTCCTGAAGCGGCTTAAACCAAACGGACAGGGTCATCTGTCTATAAGGAGAGTGGTGGTGAAGGGTCATCCTGATTCAAACCCAGGATGAATCTGGGCTAAGTTCCGAGGGTGCCGCCAACACTCGTTCACGCGGAGAGCTTGGTCTCCGTAGCGGGGCACTCGGGCGGCGGCTCTCTGGCAGCCAGGCGACAGGCACCGCCATCCTTACGGCCGCAGGCGAGGCCGGCAGGCGCGGGGCGGCGCTCCGGGGGCCGGGCCAAAGCTTCCCGCCGGGGCGGAGCAGGGCAGCGCTGCCGCTCGCTCATTCATTCAAAGCCGGGACGGGCGGGCGAGAACTGCCACTACGGCGGGCACCGCTCAGCCCGGCCCCCGGCTCCCCCGTATCTCCTTCACGCGTACCCTCTCTCACCTGCCCAGGAGCTGCTCATAATCGGCGCGGAGCTTGCTCAGTTCGATCTGCAGCCTGGCCCGCTCCCGAGCGGTGTCGTCCAGCGTCTGACGGGCGTCGGCCAACTCGGTCTCGTAGACCGCCTTGAGGCTGGCGACCTCGCGGCCGCGCACCTCCTCCCGCTCCGTGACCTGCAGCTGCAGGGAGCTGTTCTCCGTCTCCAGGCTCCGCACCTTGTCGATGTAGACTGCCAAGCGGTCGTTCAGCTGCCGCAGCTCCTCCTTCTGCTGCAGCCGTAATTGGTGCGTGGGACTCAGCTGCAGGGAGGCCGCGGAGCCCCGGCTCCGCGACCCCAGCGGTGTGACGGACGCCATGGCGGAGAGGCGAGAGAAGCGGGAAGACGGGAGACCGGACGAGAGACCCCGCAGCAGTGACAGAAGCACACCAACACCGGCAGGTCGGGTCGGGAGGCGAGCGAACAGCAACCCAGCTACCGCCGCCTCCCGCGATACACGAACGATGCCCGCCCGCAATTGCTCCGCTCGGCGCCGCGGTCCAATATGGCCGGCTGTCGCCCAGCCCCACGCCCACGTGACCAGCCGCAGACCAATCGCGATCCGAGGCGGGACGCGCGCCGCGTCCCGCCGCCGGCTGGAGACTCAATTCAAAACCCGCCACCGCCCGCAACTGTCAGCCGGCGCGTGAGGCGGGCCCCGCCCACACCGCGGTGCTGCTGAGGAGGCCGCGCGTGGCGGCGCCTTCCTTTGTTGCCGCTTCCCGGCTCAGGACAAAGGCAGCCGGGCCCCGGCGGGTCCATGCGGCCGCGCCGCCTTCCGCCTCCCCGCAGGGCGAGGCGGACTCCCCTAGCCCCCGGGGCCTGCACCCCTGATCTTGCACACCTCCCCGCCGGCCTCCCCTGCTCTGGCCGGGGGAGATATTCTCGCTCGGTAAGAAAAGTGATCTTGCTGCGCCAAACGTTTCCTAGCCCGCATTTACTCTTCCTCTTCTGTAGGCTGTAATTTGAAAACTCTCCTGGTCCTGCAAGTGCCTGAGCGCTCGTTTTTGAGCTGCCTCAGATTAATACTCGTTGCAATATTCAAAATGCTCAACCCAGGTTTCAGTGTTAGTATTTTAATAGTCTTTATCTGATGTCAGTCTGGCTCCTAAGGGTTTATTGTGAGTGAGATGTTGTGTCCTTAATTAGAAGTTAAACATTAATTTTTCAGGAAAAACATGAATCGTTTGGTGCTGCAGCAGCAAGGAGTGAAAAAGCCACATTCATAAGTGTGGAACTGAGCCCACTGAAGCTTTTGATTTATAGCTTTTAAATAACCACTGTCCCTTCACAAGCTACAATGTTGGCTGCATCTTCTGGGGGTCCATTTATGTGAGGGACCACTGTGCACTGCAGCTGTACATCAGAAAGTAGAAACCAGGAAGAGGAACACGGTGAGGAGTTCTAAATCTCAAGTGTAAACCCAATTGTCCTCACAGAAATTCCTGTAGAGAAGGCTTGTCAGCAGGAAAACACTAAGGTTTCCTACTACTTACATTTCCTTAAAGTCTTTTAGTAAGGATCCTTCTAGAAGAAGCACTTACGAGATTCCAGAAACCAGGTAGTTTTCCACCAGACTTGAGATCGCCCCTGTGGGATCTGGGTGCCCCTTCACAGTTTATGGACATTCATTCTGCGTTCAGCTAGTTTAGCAGAACATTTTTTGCACATTTCCACCAATAAGAGACACCCCCTCAAACAAAAAGGTAAAACAAGTACTCCTGTCACAGGGGTGTATACAACTATAGGCTTTTTCCCACACGGTGCCTTTGTTGACACAAACCATCATCTGTTGTTCCTTTTTTCCTCCTCTGCCTGCTGTTACAATTTGCTGTTTTCCAGCCCTTTGGGAAAATAGTAAAGCTGGCTAAAAAGAGGGACAACAGCTGAGGAAAAGGAAAAAAACACCCACAAAAAAAAAAAAAACGACAACTCTGTAGCACCTGCTGCAACATAAAATTGTCAACAAAGTAGGATTATAGCCCAAGGTAGTTTTACACTGCAGCTGGCACTAGAAAAAAAGGATCTGTATTTACAGGCAGTACAAGAGGCAGACAAAATTTGGGAGATTTTATTGTTGTAAGAACTGAGCCCTCTGAGGTGTTTAGTGCTGATTCTGATTCTGTCTACTCCCAGGATTTAATTTAGTGCTGGGTTTTAAATCACTGAGTTTTCATTAGAGAAATATACATGATCATTATTTCCTCCCCACCCACCCCCCACTCACCACCCCACCCAATATCGTTTTGCAGTTAGTGTGCCTGAAGCAAAGCTTTTTTTTCTTCCTCTCTCCCAAAGTGTTACGGGTGGGGTATGTTTCAGTTCATCTCCTAGATAAAAAGAATGTATTTAAAATCCAAACTGTGTGTAAGAAGGCCTTCCTTTCTCCTCAGAAGCCTCAAGCTTTAATTTCTTCTTTGTTGAAACTATTGCATTTTAGCCTCCCAGCCTACCACATAGGATGACATTCGATGGGGCTTACTTACCAGACTAGGCTGGCTAGTAGCATAAAAAATAGATGGAAACAAATATTGTAGTATTAGTGTCTTGTAATAATTACTGGTGAAAACCGAAATGTTTGTCTCCCCAGTTCCATGCTTACTTTCCACTAGTCTGTGTTTTTAGGTTGTTACTTCCACCTAATCAAAAAATTAATGTTGATGTAGCATTTCCTATACACATTAATAAAAAAGAAAAAAAAAATCAGTTGAATTTATTAAAATCTCATTATCAAAATATAAAATCTTTTGTGTGGTTTCAAAGGCAAGATTGACTTCCATATTGGAGTAAATTAATCTTCAGTAACCATGCCATCAGATTTCTCTGCCATTTGCTTACAACTGAGATTTCTTCCTGCTAATTGTGTGATTGAATTTGTTTTCCTCTACTAGTCTGAAAGAGAAAGTAAGAAAACAATTGGCCTTCACACAGTGCCTGATATCAGACGCTTTACTTGTGAAACTGACTATCAACATTGTTCCTCTTCACTCTTGGCAGCTTGGGCCTGATACAGCACGCATATGTGATATACTTCCTTTGTATAGAAAAGCCTGTAAGTGCCATTATTAAGTCAGGTAGAGGCGTCACTCACTGATCTGAGGCACCAGGCAGTCACGGAGGACTGAGCACTGACATTCCCATGCCTCCAGGCTGCTGCCTACAGGAACCAGGAGTGTTTTCTCTACCTCAGAAAACCAAAGGAATGTGATGTTTACCACTGCAGCTAACAACTTGACTCAAAACATTTTCATCTTATTTCAGTTTACTATGACAACACTTTACAGCTCTTGGAGCTGATCTGTGAAATACATCACACGTACTTCAACACAGCTTTGAAATACCTCCATAGCTACAATTTAATACCATTGTAATCTACAGAAATTGTACATATTTGGCATGCGCACATCTTCTAGACACAATAGGCTATGTTACACTTAGACTTGCCTCTGCTAAACATGGAAGGTATTTCACCAACTGAGACATGTTTAAAGAAAAGCTTTCCAACATGCAGCATTTAACAGAAAGGCGATTTGATTTTGGTTTGTTGGTTTGCTTTTTTACACTGATTTAAATAAACAAACTTTAGAATCTGGAAAAGTTTGTGGAAAATTAGCATAGACTGTAATTCCCAGTAAATGAACCATTTATTGAAAGACATTTTCTTATATATATATATATATATATATATATGTATAATAAATTCTATTTATACACTATTTACTTTTAAAGTGAACAAGAATCATGGTGAATACATTCTGCAAATCTGTCAGTACACTGAGGGTTACATCAGGGATTTAAGCACGACTCTTCTAAAGAAGAAATGGACAAATCTGAGTATCAGAAAATACTGTTTATTTCCATTTGGGGAATGTCTGCTAAAGAAGAATCAAAGTAAATCCTGCCCCCTCTGCTTTCAAGAAGCAGAACAAAACAAAATGAATGGAAATGTTTCTTTGTAACAGCAAGAGTTACAGAGTAAACAGTTACAGTCCTGCTGTGCGTAGCAGGGGTGTTGCTCGGGACAGCTACATTCCATGTAAAACAAGTGAAAATTTGCTCAGCATTTTCATAATGTCAGAGCACAAAACCAGCTGTGCATCCATGACACCATACCAGGGCCTAATCCAAAGTCCAATTAAGTTTATACTTCAGTGCTGTGAAAACTTCTGGCAAGTCAAGATGTTAATTTCTTGCTCATCCAGTGCTGACTAGAGACCATTCCTGGGGACAGAGCAGCTAGGAAACAGAATCTTATTTTTCCCTTGAGATGTTGCTGCAGCAGTAGGGGGGAGTATGGGAGTGTCTGCGGCTGTTCAGAAAGATAGTAAAATCTGGAGTCTCGTCATATGAGCACATAGGATAACAGTAATACTCCTCCCTTTTTTTTATCTTCAGAAATACCAAACCAAAGCCAGTTAGATAGCTGTAGGTGCATCATGATACATGTGTTTCTAATTGCTGCTCTAAATAGTAATAACTCATGTATGACTACATTATTCTTAATAGGAGCTGTCATGTATAACTTGAATCCTTGATGAAAAAAATGCTGATTCTACACTGTATTTCACCAGGATTCAAACAGAGCTATCACTATTCCTGCATGAAAATGAAAAACAGATAAACAAACAAACCCCCCAAACCTGTGTTGGTTTGTTTGTTTCAGTTTTGGTTTGGGGATTTTTTTTATTTTTTTTTTTTTTTCATTACAGTTTAAGGTACAGTGGAAATTCAATTTTTAATTTCTGCTGGATCTTTCACACTGAAAATTTTCTTAGAAAACTTTGTCTAGTATTCTGTGGGATCTCTTCCTCCGGAAGAAGCCAAATAGGATGAATAAACATATTTGGGATGCAGCCATGCTGTATGCGTATGTCTGTGACAGGCTGCAAGATTGATGAGAACAGAGGGAGAGAAGAAAGAGACATAGCCCAGAGAAGTGGTGCAGAAAAGACAGATGCAGAATGAACTGTAGTAAGAACTGCAGTGCTCCTCAGTATTCATTATCAAAACCACCTCTTTTCAGTTTGCCTTGCTTAATCATATCTGAAACCGTGCAGGGATGGATGTTTAAACGGATGCACACATGAGGGTGGATGGCTGGTTTGGGCTGAGAGTAGTCCAGGGAATAGCCCACCCTCACTGCTGAGGTAGCTGAGGTACAGTGAGAGAAGATATAGTGACACAACTGCTAGTCATATCTCAGCTCAGTTCCCACAGTGATTGCAAAACCCCAAAGGAGAAAGGAAGATACTGTAGAAGGTAAAGAAGCAGGAACTGATAATTATATGGCTCCACATGAAGATCTGATTAAGCTCACTTCTAAACAGCTGTGCAAAACTAGAAAAGT